CTGCCTGGAAATATAGTCTTCCCTGTCCCTAGATTTCGTAATGACTTGAATCTGAAATGCCCCACCCAAAGCTCAAAGCTCATGAGTTGAAGCCTTGATCCCTTATGAAGCAGTGCTCAGAAGGATTTAGGCAGATGATTGGATCAAGGGGGTTCTAACTTCATTAGTGAATTAATCTATTCAAAGATCCATAGCTTGATGGGCTATGGAGCAGTGCTGAAAACTAAAAAAGAGTTGGGGGCTGGTTGGAGAAAGTAGATCACTAGGGGTTTGCCTCAGGGTATTTTGTACCTGTACTGGCTGATTTTATATCAATTTGACACAAGCTAGAATCAGCAAAGAGGAGAGAGCCTCAGTTGAGAATTGTCCCCACAAGATCCGGCTGTAGGCAAGCTGTAGGAAATTTTCTTAATCAGTGACTGAGGTGGGAGGGCACAGCCCACTGTGGGTGATACCATCCCTAGGCTGGTGGCCCTGGGGTCTATAAGAAAGCAGGCTGAGCAACCCTTGAGGAGCAAGCCTTTAAGTAACACCCCTCCATGGCTTCTGCATCAGCTCTGCATTCAGTTCCCTGCCCTCCTTGAGTTCCTGCCCTACTGCTTTTGATATGGAACTGTGAATGAAATAAACCCTTTCCTCCCCAAGTTGCTTTAGCTCATGCTGTTTCATCAAAACAATGGCAGCCCTGACTAAGACACTGTGCCTTCAGCTTTCATGCCTGTATTTCTACCTCCCTCTATGCCTCCTGACTAATGCTGGGAGTTGAGCAGCCTAATTTGACCATGAATCCCTGACATAACAGTCCACCTTATCACACACCTAAAGCAAGGGGGCCAGCTGATCACAGACTGGCGTTTCTGGAACCATAGCAGGGAAATAAGCTCAACTTCGTGTCAGATATCTTAATGGAAAGCTGATTAACACGGTATCTAAATCTTGGTCCCACTTCCCCCAGCCAAGAAGGACCTCCGGTGTGCTTGTCGTTACTAAAAGGGTACACACACATTTTCTAAATAGGGGTATATTTTGAGTGGAAGTCTGTTGGCATACCTTTTTAACTCTATTTTGTGTTGGTTTCTTAATGCCTCTTCCTTCCTTCTCCATTCCAATCCCTTCTAACACCAGGTAGGAGAGAAAGGTTAGTCGAGAATGGGCATAGTTCTCATTAGCTACTTCCTGCTGGTTAGGGTCCTTGGGTTCCTTGGAGCAAGTCCACTCTTTGTTTCAGGATATCTCAACTTCTCATCAAACTGCATCAACAGCAACCAGGAGCAGCGGAGGGGGAATGTGTGCATCAACAGCCTTTTTCCTATTGTGTGCCCCCCTTCTCTCTCCAGAGTCCTCAGAATTAAACTATCTGCAGCTGGGAAAGAGCCCACACAAGGCAAATAGTTTACTGCTGTGGACAGTCTGAATCAGCCCTATGTCCCACACCTGGGATTAGAACAAAAACATGTTTACATAACTGAGGTTTTTGGTTTAAAAAATATATATTATTTTTTTAAAAAAAAATTATTTACTTTATATCCCAACTGTAGCCCTCTCCCTTGTCTCTTCCTGGTCCCACCTTCCCTCCCTCTTCTCCCAATCCCCCTCCCCTAGTCCACAGAAAGGTGGAATCCTCCTCCCCTACCATCTGATCCTAGCCCTTTCAAATCTCATCAGGACCACCTGGATCCTCCTCCTCTGTCACCTTGCAAGGCCTCTCCTCCAGGGGAAAATGATCAAAAAGGAGGCAACTGAGTTGATTCCAGAGAATACCCCTCCTCCCCTTACTAGGATACCTACATGGAGACTGCACTGTCTGTGGGCAACAACTGAGCAGATGGTCTAGGTCCTCTCCATGCATGGTCCTTCCTTGGGGCATCAGTTTCTGCAGCACCCACCCCCCAGATTTGTTAGCTTTGTTGTTCTCTTTGTGGAGTTCCTGTTCATTCCAGGTCCTTCTTTCCCCTGACTCTTCCATAAGACTCTCTGTGCTCTGCCCAGAGTTTAGCTGTGAGTCTAGGCATATGCTTTGATTCCTGCTGGGTAGAGCCTTACAGAGGATATCTATGGTAGGCTCCTGTCCTGCTTCCTCTCTTCAATCACTTCTGGTGTCTATTCTATTTGCCCTTCTGAATGAAATTAAGCATCCTCTCTAGGATCTTCCTTGTTATTTAGCTTCTTTAGGTCTGTGGATTTTAGTATGGTTATCCTGTACTGTATGGCTAATATCTGCTTATAAGTGAGTATGTGCCATGCGTCTTTCTGCTTCTGAGTTTCCCCACTCAGGATGATCTCTTCTAGTTCCATCCATTTGCCTGAAAATTTCATGATTTCCTTGTTTTTAATAGCCGGGTAGCATTCCATTGTGTAAGTGAGTGGTATACCTGGGTCTTAAGGTAGCACTATTCCTAATTTTCTGAGAAGGCACCAGATTGCTTTCCAAAGTGGTTGTACAAGTTTGTACTCCCACCAGCAATGAAGGAGGGTTTCCCCTTTTCCCACATCCTTGCCAGCATGTGTTATCACATAAGTTTTTGATCTTAGACATTCTGACTGGTGTAAGATGGAATCTCAGAGTCGTTTTGATTTGCATTTCTGTGATGACTAAGGACGTTGAGAATTTAAGTGTTTCTCCACCATTCGATATTCCTCTGTTGAAATTCTCTTTTAGCTCTGTACCCCATTTTAAAATTGGATTATTTGCTTTGTTGGTGTTTAATTTCTAGTAAACGTGCTGCCGAAGTGAGCACCATAACTGAGTTTTTAAAGACACCAAAACTTTCCACTCCAGAAGTCTCACTTGGAATAACAATATCAAACCTGTAAGGTTCAAGCTGCATTGCTTGAGGGAGAGAGAGGAACCTAAAAGGAAGAGAGGGAATCCAGAACTCAGAGGGTAGGAACTGATGACCTGCATACCCTTAAGAAACTACTCTCATTTTTAAAAATTTATAATGAATGGAAAACTAAGAGATAAGTAAATATGTTTTATTTTTATTACCTATCCATATAGGTACTATGTAAATATATACTTAGATAAATATATCTTGGTGCCTATTTTTAGGAAAACAACTTTCTTTCTATGTAGTGATACCTATCAAATGCCCCAGAACACATGTAGGAAATACAAATTTACCATAAGAAAATAGCCCTAAGTGTTGAGGGGCACAAATAAACACTATTCCAAAATTGAAAACAAATTCGGCATTCAGTGAGGAGGAAATGATGAAACTCGTGCATACCCTTGATATCACACAACCACTTACAGCTTATCTGTTAAGACTTTGAAACAGCATGGGTAAGCCAAAAAGAAAAAAGAATGCCTGCTTAAATAAACAAAAATCCTCACTGAAAACAAGTCATGCACAGGGAAAAAGAAAAGAAAACTTGTTAAAGTTTCCCAGCAGCATTATTGTGCAGAGATGATGGGTTATTTCTGTTCTCCCTCTATGTTTCAAACAGTTTCAAGGACCATGTGTGATTCCTGTAACTATAAAAAGTTAAGCAAAGACATAATTCCATTCATATAGAAGAAAGGTGATAAACTACACGCTTTATCATATTTCCAACAAAACTACAATCATGAAAGGAAAAAGAAACAGCCTTTCCAACTCCCTTTGGGCACTCTTACCCTCCGGGCTGCCTGTGATTTGCTGCCTTGCAGTCCTGTATTCCCTACAGCTTCAAATAACTCTAGCTCGCCAATAGATGTCACTGTTGCACTTGAGCGAGTGAGTCCCAGCTTTGACTTTGCAAAATCAGTCTCTCTTTGCCTCTCTGCCTCTGTCTGCCTCTCTGTCTCTCACGCACGCACTTGTGTGTATATGTGTGAGGTGTGTGTGTGTGTGTGTGTGTGTGTGTGAGAGAGAGAGAGAGAGAGACAGAGACAGAGACAGAGACAGAGACAGAGACAGAGACAGAGGGAGTGTTTTGCTTGGACACATCTGTGGAAGCCAGAATGTTAGATTCTCTGAAGCTGGATGTAGGTTGTGGTGAGCTGCCATGTGGGTACTGGAAAGTAAACTCAGGTCCTCTGCAAAAGCAGCAAGTACTCTTAACCACTGAGACAGCTCTCCAAACCTTCAAACCCCCTTTTATGAAAATGAATGTCAAATGTTTTTCTGAAATGACTATAGTGACTATTATTGTATGGTTATGGAAAAAAAAAAAAAAAAACCAACCAAGTTCTACTCAGTTGTTACTACCCACCTAAAACTAGCAGATCTAACACGCCCCTATGAAAACCCACAATGTTACCTAGATGATCTTAGGCCTGACTCACACTCTCCACGCATGTACTTTCATATCAGAATATAATGAAGCAGAGAACAAGAGGTTTTCAATGGGCATCAAAATAAAGGCAAAATAGAAAAAGCCGCTGGGAACTGTGGGGAAAAGAGGGCAATGAGAAACGGAATGGTTTGGTCAACTTTATCAGGCCATCTAAAACTGGAAGTGGTTAAGCCTGCCCAATGCTTTGTACTGGGGACTCAATGCTTCTGTGTCAGTGGATGTGTGAATGAATGAGAAAGGAGAAGCCTATGTTTTTAAATGGGTCATCCTGTATTTGGCAGGTTTCCCACCAACTTGTTGGGCTGTTATTTGAGCAGCTGGAGAGAAGGGAAGGTTTATAGATGTGCAATGAAGACAGGTGACTTGGGTTTCACTGGAAAACGCAGAGCCTCACTGTCAGCTAGCATATGTTATTCATAAATTTTTAGTACAATGATATTAAGTGACTAGCAGCAAATGGTTTTCTTCCCACAGGGAGGCTTAGGCATCAGAAGTAATGAGACAGAGTACTCTGGAAAGAAACTGTAGACACAGTAACATCCTGGTGCACAGATTTTGACTTCGTCTGCTGCAGCCCATTGATTTATTTTTCAAACAATGATCCACATAGAGAATGCAGCTTTGCAAACTTCACATATACAATTTACATTAACTACATATTAAACGAGCTTCTGCAGACCACAAAGAACCACGGGAAAGTCACAAAGATTTCCACTTACGTTGAGATCCAAGTACAATTCACTTCTACTTGATTTTTCTTTTTCTTCATGGAGCATAAATGGACAGAGTGGTCCGGCTCTGTAACCCAGGACAGAAGCACCTCCATCCTTGTTGGGAAGGTCTTTCGCTGTCTTCTCATTGAAGCTGTCACAGGGAAAGCCTTCAGAGGGGATACCTAAGTGAACACGGGGACTAACATCAGTGACACAGCAGGGAGATGAAATATAATGTAGTCAGCAAGCTTAGGGGTTCTGCAAGGCACTCTCCATGTCTGGCTTTACTTTCCAGTTTATCTTTTTAGGGTTTTCTGTCCTTGTGAAGGTCCTTTCCCAGCTGCTCTTTTGAAGTCTTCAAGCGTATGACCTCACCCCTGAAAAGTTGGTGCACTAGCTCTTTCCTATGCTCCAAAGACCTGCTTGCCAGCCCAGGTTGGGCGGTTTCTGCTTATTCACAATAGAATCAGAGAGAAGCAGGGGAAGAGAGGCACGGGGTTTAGCTCTACCACTCCATGCTGTCACTCAAGCCAAGGCATTAATGTATTTGTTCTTCTGGGGCTGAAGCTGTGCCTTTATTTCCAGAGACAGAATCATCATGCACTGTGCATAATGGTTCGTGTCAGTTTGATGGTGAGGGAATGCCGCATTTGGGACTGACTTTTGTCATCTCCAGAATAGTCAGCTAACTTACTCTGACATATTTTAATATGTCAGGGTGACAGTAGGGCTGTCTTCAAGTTTCAACATAACCTAATATTGGGAAACACCCGAGCTCCCATTTTAGGGGGAGGATGGACTGAAGCACAAAGAAGGTAAGCAACAGCCTCAACTTCCTAAGATCAGTAAAGGAGAAAAGAAAGCAATGGTCGAGGCCAGGCAGCTAGCTGAGCATGAGAGGCTATGTTCTTAGAAACTATGTAAGTGGCCTCTGTCTGACATTCTTGAGATGGCAACACATGTTCTGTGATAAAAAAAAAAATATCACGGTCAGAAAAGCTACATGCTCTAAAAAAGCAACCTCCCTAAACTTACCAAATGGGATCTCCCCAAACTTATTTTGTAATGGGATCAATTTTAAGGGACATCTGTTAAGCCAAACATGTTGTAAACCATTACTGCACTGGAATGCAGTTTGGAAAATAATAGATTAGATCAATGACAGACGAGACTCTCAAGAGGCACTCGCATTCCTGGTCCTCTTTGAATTCCTGGTGAGCAACCTCAGCCAAACCTGGAAGAGCCAGGTAGACCATAAAGACTCAGGCTCGGTGTCTTTTCGTAAGATGGATCACTGGACATGTGATAGGGTGTTTATTATACATAATCCCTGTAAGAGAGGAGCTCTGGCAGCGATCCAGAGCTGGCTGATGGTCTCTGCCATGCTGCGAACCTGACTCACAGATAACCCGAGCTGAGAATCACTTGGCGCACACGGGGCTGTGAGGCAGTATGCTTCTCTTATACAAAAGTAGTATTGGAAGTGGCAGAGAAGCTGAGAACACATAAGGTTCTGATTTCTGTTTGCATACTGAGTTCGGTTCATCGAGTTTTAATCACACTTCCGAGTGGAAGTGGCAGAGTTCACATTGTTTCTACAGTTGTCCTCTGAAGGCTGTTCACAAAGCACTTTCAGCTACTAAGAAAAATGAGAGTCCAAGACATCAGGAGTCTGTTATTATTTCTGCAAATGTAAGGTGTCTGGAAAGTGAACTCAGCTAGTTTCTTCATAAGGACAAAGTGTCTTGAGGTAAGTAAGTCTCTGTCTGCTTGAGGTCCTAATAACCCCTGTCTACAGAAGATATAGCCAGCTGCTCATGTGAGCTTTGACTTAGGGAATCATGTACCATTCTCAAGGAGCAGGGGTCGGGGGGGGGGTGGGAAAGCTAATGACTAAAAGAAACTCAAAGCACCTCCACAGACAACCTTGAAAGGAAAGCATCACTATGAAGACCTGAAGCTCCTGCAGCTCTTGTGGCTGTGGGATGGCTCGTCTGTGTCCTACAGGCATGTCCTGGGCATTTCTGTCCCTGTTAAGCAAGGAGGAAACTCACCCTTGTAAACCTATGCAATGCTCGCACCACTCCATCTCATTTCCCGAGTCCATAATTACACACTAGTCCCTCACCTAGATCCCTATACTTGTCTCATTTTGGCTATGGAGTGAGTTCTGGCTTTGGAGGAAGGTTACATAGATTAATATAGCCATATGACACATAATATATATCACGAAATACATTATACAAGCACCCCAGGTAAGACATTCATTTTATCAAAGGCATATTGTCTGGTGAGGCTAAGTTTATTGTCACAGTATGAACAGTGATATGAAAGAGTAGTGAATTCACACAATAGCAAAGACTTTGTGTTCCCAGAAAAACCACACATGTATATATGTGCATGTGTTCATGCATGCACACTCACATACATGTAGTGTCTAGCCAACACCGCATTCATCAGGTGAGGCCTGCAATCCAATTCACTCTTTATACAGAGGAAAGACAACAGAAAGCTTAAGCAGAATCATTAAAAATTAGTTGAATTCTGGAGTTGACTTTCATTTTAAAGAGCCAACTTCTGATGCCTTTAATCTAACCAGACAATGACCTATGACGAGAACATGCAAGATAAACCATGGTGCATGATAATTTTGACAAGGATCATTAGGACAGGAAAGGACCATGGGCAGATACAGGTTACATGGGATGTTATCTCAGAAGTTTGACAAACTAAAGACAAAGGACAAATTCAACCTTCCAGGAAAAATGAGTAAATAACTTATAAAACAATTTGTGAGTAAAGAGTTTTAGTAATATCAATGCAAATGACTTATACAATAATATACATGTCTATATTTATTAAATAGGCAATGTCCATATTATTCTTTTTGGCTGAGTAAACAAAAAAGCAAAAAACAATCTTGAAACAAGTAAATTTTCAGCAGAGTCAACTGTCACTTAATTTCTAATACAAAGAGATTTTCAAGGTGTTAGATTTACACTTCTGAAACACTAAAGATCATCAATTTAATCAAATTTCTTTCCCTTTAATGTGCACACTGTGAGTCTAATTGTATTAAGTATTAGTTGTTTTGTTTCTCAAAGGCACATCAGCCCCTTGATTGATCACACATACACACAAAGGTTAATTTGACAGGTGATCATGGTTAATAGGACATACAGCACAGATACACAAAGGGTAAGTGGCTTACCTTTCAAAGTCTGTGCTTTCCCCAACCATTCAAGTGATGAGCTGCACTTTGCTGACCTACAACATCAGCCTAGGGGCTGCTGTCAGTAATCCAAACAGTGAAAGCAGACAGAAAGAAAACGTAATATGCCATTTACAATGGACGCAGTATTCAAAATCCACTGTCCCCAGAGGCAAGCAGTCTCTCTGCCTGTGGCACAGGGAGGATTGCTGTTTGAATTCTTCGCTCCTTCCCAGCTTTGTCAGGGTGAACTCAGAATCTTACTCCTATGAGAGCTAGTGGTTCCTAACCACATACATGATGGATCTGGCCAGGAAGCTTGCCCTGGCTGAATGAATGTGGGCAATGTGACAGTGCACAGCTCTGTGCACAATAATCACATCCATACCTACAGCTCTGGCAAAAGTATAGTCTCATGGCTAGTTTAGGTCAGACTCAATGCTCTATGGTGTCATGCTTCAACTCCTAATACCACCAGGGTAAATGATAGGATTACCAAAACTAGCAATGTGGGTAAAATTCTACTGGTAAAAATCTTGTCAACCCATTCCAGAAAAGTCACCAGCAAGGACCACCAGGTCCTCACCATATGAAATGGAACTATGTCAGGAGGAAGGTGTGTCTAAGTAGAAGGCAGCTGTTGGTAGATCAGGAAGTAGGAAGAACTGGGAGGCAGCATACAGCAGTTTGAGCCTCTACAAAGAAAAATATGAAATGAATGAAATGTTTGAATGTCTAAAATGATATTTAACGTCAAACCAAATGAAACACTATTTAAAGCAGAAAGGGTTCTGGTATGTGCTCCCATCTACCCACCTGGGGGCTGCTATCAGTAGTGAAAGCAGACAGAAAAAAAAGGTAACCTGCCATTTACAATGCAGGCCGTATTCAAAATCCACCATCCCCAGATGTAAGCAGTCTCTCTGCCTGTGGCACAGGGAGCTGAGGGAACTAAGCCCCGGGAAGATTCCTGTATTTCCAGCACACTTGGTGGCAAAGTTTGAATGAAAATCCAGAAAAACATCTCCTACACTATTTAGAGAAGGACATTATTTATTGCCAATCTACAGGGGTGGGGGGCTGTTGAGGTAAGAGAGAGAGAGAAGATGGTATAAGTAGCTAAGAGAATAGGCCTTTGCAGGTGAGCCTCTAATGCTAATTGCTTAACCTTGAAGCTACCAAACACACCCACATATCATTTCCTTGCCAATAAAAGTCGGATAATAAGGATAAGCCTGGTAATGGACTGGAATTCAAATTATTTTCTCCCAGGAAACTTCCTAGGCTGTGGAGGTATGAACTGAATGAAGGATGCAAATAAGTCCTGGCTTAAGAAATCCAAACGTGCAATGGAGGTACATTAAATATCACTTATGTGAGTGAAGGAGAACTTTTTTTTTTACCAAAGAAGTTAAAGAGAATAATTGAGCTCATAAGAATTTATGAGCACACTCTAGTAAAGTAGATCCCAGGTCTCTTCAAGCTCCCAAAATAGAAATCACATCATCTGATGTAATTGCTTCAGGTAAGTGGCTGATAGGCTCTGGAAACAATAGCTCCTCAGGGGTCTGCATGGAGACAGGAAGACATTTCTTCACTGAAGATCAAATACGTGATCCTTGAGCCATTAAGCTTCCAATGAAATATTATGTTAAAGAGGCATATCAATAGACTCTGTGGCGATAATTACATTAACCTTCTCACATATTCTGGAAGGAATATGGATTTGCAGATAAGGAAACTCATTTGTGAATATAGTTATGCTGAGTATTTTAACAAGGGTCACACATTAAAAGTAGCATAAATAATACTGGGACTGGGTAAATGCCAGGGGGAGATTCATCTAGGTAAGATCTGGTGTAAAATGACTGAAAGGTGGTTAGGAAGTTGTGAGAGTCCTGAGACATGAAGAACCTCTGTATAATCTCAGATAGTAAATGCTTAAAAAAATAGATGTTGGCACTTCAAATG